TGGAAACGGTTCTAGCAATATTTATAAAGCATTGAATGATGAGTCAAACGATTAAGTAGATGTCAAAGAACGTATTGATGAGGATAACAAATACCCATAAAATACTTAGCGAATGATGTGTAAAAATATACTCAATATATTGGATAGGAAAACACGACAATCAACTTAAGTTCGTATTTGTGTGCCAGAATTGTTACATGGTACAGAATATTTGATATATTTAAATTGTAATTACATTTTTGATGCAAGAAGATTACTGCAGTATTTGCAGATATGCAATTGACGAAACAAAAGTACAAGGCCTCACCATTGTAGCTTCAATAATGTGAAATTTATAAATAGTACATTAACAATCGTTAATGTAATATTATTTTTTTTTAAATTTGTCATTTATAACATACCAGAATGAAAAATAAATACGATAAAACGAAAGCACGTTCGAACACACGCAACACGATCGAATCTGTGCTAACGTGTCGACCTGGGAGTGGAGCGCAGCTATATTCGGATTCGGAAAGCCCCAAGTTTCATAAAAACTAATAGTTTTTAGATAGCATTAATTGTGTGATACTGTCATAACGATTTATAAGTTATTATAGATGATACATGGTACATAGATGAAACTAATTCGTACGGTACGACTGTTTGATGAATTTCAATCAGCTTCCGGTAAACGAAAAAACCAAAACACCTTGGATTGTAAGTACATATGTGAAGGTTAGCTAAATAAATATATTTTTGATGTAGTATCAATTTCATTAGATGGATGTAAGCGTTTATTGGATAATGAAATTGGATAACTGTATTACAAATATAAAAAATGGTCAGTAAACATTTGTAAAGATATTGTGTCAATTTATTGGAATACTAATTGTCGTTCGCAATTATATCATAAAGTTAGCATTCCAAATAAACAGTAACGGATCTCCCAGTATTTGTTGAATCATAATTAATCAGAACACTAATATTGTAAGGTCCAAAACAATAACACAAAACATATACGATATTGAGGAAAATGGAAATTGAGAACGTTTTATGACTAGGTTGAAAAGATTAGTGAATGCGACGCTTCAATAGATCAAACTGATAACAAGTGTGCGCACATTCTAAAGGGAAATTCCAATCTCGTGTCACATACACTTTCACGTGGGTTTATCCCAAATAAACACAATTGGCCCCATTGTATTCTAACCATCGAGGGTTTTACGGGACGACTATAAATATATTGCGGTTTTCCCACATTAAAATACCTGCATGCTCTATGGTATTCCTCAAGGCACTATTACAAAACTAGGCCATGACACAAACCGACGAGCTAGAAGTAATAGTAACGGTAGGAAGTGATGGTATAAACTTGTACGCTGTAAATGAATTCTAAACTGGCATTAAAAATGAAACTGTGTTGTGTCGAGAGTGAATGACCGTTGATACACTCGTAAAGCGAAAGTTGGTGATGGAAAAAAAAATATTGATATTATATTTAAAACTATACAGGGTTTTTTTTTAAATAAAATACAGCTCATGTTACTCCCTAATCATGTAGCTTTATATAGGTAAAACATTTCTGAAAATGAAACATTAGATACCTATGATAATATACGTGAACTTGTCTCAGGGTATTTAATTCAGGGAGACTTCTCGAGATGTAATTTATACAGAACCAGAACGATCGAAAGATAAACGAAGAAGGGAAACCCATCTCATTAGCATACAGACGTAACAACTTCAATTAACGTCGGAACAACGGTGGGATATCCCAAACGATGCTTTCACTCCGAGAATGGCAGTCTGTTACGCGAACGGACTGCAAAATGTTGGAAATACCCAGGGGCCGACTGTAGCATTCAGGTGATCGTCTCGAAAAGGTTACTGGGAACTTGATGTTACCGTTCCTTTAATGGAAAAAAAGAAATTGCTTTTTGAACATTGCATTAGTTTTGTTTGTATTGATTTTTTTGCGTTAATTCAAGGATTTTACGACTTTTACATGGCATCTTTCTTTCCATTCAAAAGCCGATAAACCCACCTGCAAATATGCTGTTTTATATTATTATCATAAATTTTATAATAAAGATGTCTAGTAAAGTAACATTAATGTACATTGGATTGAATAACATTTTGGAAAACCCAGAGATAATGTGTAAATGACTATTTCTACCGAGACTAACGCCTTTTATTACGAGTGGAAATACCAACCAGCTCGTGTTGTAGCATTCTGCGCATTTCATTGATCTAGGGAGACTGATCAAACAAATGAACGGAATGGATACCTTGAAGGACACCAAGAGGTGCGGTGCGTTTACACGTAAACAATGCCAGTTTAGCGAGGCTCAATAATCACGATAATGAACTAATTCAAGACGGATACTGCGGATAGTATACGGATCCTAGATACAAGTTCTAGGCACGTGATAGTGTGGTGTGATGAATGCCGGTTTATGTCCGGATTGTTAGCTTCTCAGAGGACAATGCCATCATTGAAGGAAAACCGCAATCACACGCCATTCTCTGAATGGGTTCAGAAATAAAAATAATACTCCAACATCACTCTACGGATTTTTCGGATGCAATTTACAATATTCAGGTGAATTCTTTTTAAAATAAATTTTTAGGAGGCGTTTGTTATTTGCAGAAGACGTCTGATTAGATGTTACGCAGATAAATTGCATATGTAAGTTTCACATATATGTCTTATGGTTGTAAATGACGTAATACAATAACCAGTTTATGATACATAACAATAATCAAATTATGACTATATTAAAGTAATCAGATAATTTTCTAATGAAGTATGATAGTTGAATGAAATCAAAGGATTGTTTAAATGGATAAATTAATATTTAATGGAGACAAACAAGCAGAACATTAAAGGGTTTTATATAGATGTTTTCAGGTTAATTGTAAGTAAATTTTCTCACAAGATGAGTGTGTAGAATAAATGCCTATTGTTAGTAGTCTATAGTGAGGATCCGGATTCAATAAGAAAAAACTATGATACTTCGATTTGACAGCTACTTTTTGGCAAGTATGCGAGTAAATCTCCTAGAAAAATCTTATCTTAAGCAAAAACAAAGCATATCTAAAATGAAAAAGAAATTTTAAAGCTAATAGATAAACAGCATACAATTTCCAATCGATTTTAAAAAGATTTTCAATTCGGTTGTACTTTTTTTTGGTTTGTTACCTCTTAATTCCGTCAGTTCTAAACCGATTTGAATTTTTTTTTATCTGAACAAATATAGATTGGTTCCATAGAAAATACACGTCATAATATGTAGTTAATGAGAATCTTTGAATTTATATTTACGACAGTTGAACATTGAGGGTAAGTAATACATTGAGCGGAGGAGAGGTATGCCGCCGACTAAATTCAAGCTACGGTGGTTTTAATTATCCTCTCTGGTCACCACGGCAACTGAGTTTCACTTCACAAGTTAGGTATCTCTGTAGATGTTAGTTCGAAGCCTTTATAAGTTATTTTTCATGCAATCAATCGACAATACTGATGATTCTTCATATATGGCGTCCATTATATTTTAATGATACACGACATAATTTTTAACTTTTCAATATGCCTACCTTTTGAGTAGGTTTAATGATGTTTTAGTGACAAAAATAGGCGGTAAAATAGAAGATACCTAAGAGGTACAGTTGGGGAAACCGCTGTGGGTTTTTACACACTGATTCAATAACGCTTCGAGTCTGGTGCAGTGACTATTTCTCATATATTTTTATTATTAGGTAGCATTCATTTAAAACATTTAATATACATTGCATTTAAACACGATTAATTAATTTAATGGCCAGTTCCCGGTGAGACGCTATTTGAATAGAACGCGACGAATTTGAGCCTATGTTACAATGTTTAATGCAATGTTCTAAAAACAAGATTATTCATAGGACTATGTATTCCATTAATACAAATTATATTTATTACCGAGAATTATTAATAGTATTATGCAGTACGGTCATCGTCGTCATTATGATCTTGTCCATATCCTATTGTTCGAATCAATTCGAAATATAAATTTAAAATAAATGTACCTAGTAGTATCCGTATTCTTAGGCATAAAATATTTATGCCTAATAATTTAAATATTCAAATTTATTCCTAATTATCTAAATATATTTAAATTGTATGTCCAAATGTATAATAAAAGTAACGTAAAACATTTACCAAAGACAAATTTGTGAAAATATTTTAATAGTGCCGATTATTTCTTGGCAATTTGGATCGTTAATGTTAGACTTAAAATAAATATAAAAAAATACAAAAAAATCAAAATTAATACACAATGCTGACTTTATTGTTTTGACTGAAACTATTTTGTTAAATAGAAAATTGTACAGTTTTTATTTTTACAAAAATCAGTGCTATATGAATGGATCGTATAATTTAATTAGCAGTTGATATTAACGCGACAAATAAAATTAAGCTTTTCGTATTTCCTAAGTTCTGACTTTCTTATATATTCTTTAAATATATATATTTTTTATTTTGTATTTGAACGTAAGATTTGAAGGTAAGATAGAAGGAAGAAGGGGAAGAGGGAGAGCGAGATATAGTTACATCAGGCAGATCAAGGAAGGAGTTGGTGTCGTGTCGTATCAAGAGGTGAAGAGACTCGCTGAAAACCGTAGTGAGTGGCAAGAGCTTCACCGACAAGAGCGCAGCTCTTAAATAGGATAGATAGATTTGAACGTAAACATTTCCTTGTCTTTTCCTCTTTTTTAATTAAAAGACATGATTAAAGATAATTAAATTAACTATTAAAAAAACTAACTTCAATTGTAGCAAAACCAGTTATTTTGAAACTAAACTACTAAACCGATTTTCATAAAATTTCTATAGTAACAATCTGTATACATGTTCTTTCGGATAAAATAATAATTATCCAAATCAATTTAGAATTTTTAATACTGTTTGTTTTTTAATACGGTTGATTATTAAAAAAGACCGACAATATTAGATTGTCAATTAATAAAAAATATACACTTACCATTATAATTTTTCTGATTTAATATTGTCGACATTTTTCTAGTTGGGTGTTCTTTGACTGGTTGCAGGAGGGCTTTGAGGCACTCCAATTGATTCGTTTCGGTGGCTATGTGTAAAGGTGTTTTGCCCGATCGGTCTCTCGCCCCCAACGACGCTCCAGCCAGCACTAGCATCCTCGTGACTACTGGAAAGCCGCTCATCACTGCCAGATGGAGAGCAGTGTGTCCGTAGTCATTCGTCAAGTCAAGCCACGACTTCTCTGGGCACAATTTGATGAGCATGCTGACGGATTTCTCGCAACCGTGAACAGCGGCCACGTGTAACGTTCTGAAAAACAAAAGATCCTATAAATATATTATCATAATATAGTTTTTATTTCTACTTCGCTTGAGAAACCTTTATTCAAGTCTTTTTACATATATATTAAATAAATAAAAAAGAAAGAAACAAAAAAGTGTGGACAGCAAACAAAAATACCCATTATTACAGACATATATTTCAAATGTGAAAATCAAATTCTAACATTTATTGTCATTTAAAAAATATTAAAGCCGACGTGATTGGAGCAATAATGTGCATAGCAATTTGTAATTAGTAAATTTCCAAATAATAAATTAATATTTAATTATTCATAGGTCAATATAAAATATCTAGAGCCATTTATGAAATGTCATTTACGAAAATTAAAACATCCACAATAAGGTAAGGAAGTGGTTTATTTAATTCTAAAACCCAATTTTTTTTTTACCTAATTCTTAAATAAATAATATTAAATTTTACCTTTTATACAAACAGAATTACAATTGCCTGTAATTTTACTTATTATTTATAAGTATCGATTGTATATTTTTATGCTAAAATATATTTTGGCAGTTGACAATGAAATTATGATATTTAGTAGAATAAGAAAAAAAAAATTAAATACTTCAATAAAAAAAAAATTATAACAAAGTAATAATTTGATTTAAGTTAATATCAGTAGAAATTGATAGAAATATTAAAGCAATAAATAAAAATTGTTAGATTTTAATATGAGTTTCACTATAATTTTGTTTTTTTTTTTATGTAAGGTTTATATAGACAATTTGCACTCCTGCAAAGCCAAGGTGGTTTTCTAATACTCATATTTATAAAAAAAAAAGAAATATTGTAAATACTGATAACTTTTTATATAATTAAAACTGCAAAACAGGCTAAATGAGAGTTCACTTTCATTTTTATCAAACTGACATAGAAATTCACTTTTTAATTAGTGGTCAGTCACTGTAATCAATGCCGTGAATCTCTCCAAGGAAATTATTTTTATAGTTTTAAAAGACCCATAGAGCTCTTTACAGAGCTATAATATGTATTAATAAACTAAGTAATGTATGTATAAAGTAACCATATATATTTTTGCACTTATAAACTTTATGGTCTGGAGGGAAGGGATTGTTAGTAATGGAGACTGAGAATCCCATTGCTATCAATATACCCCACCAGGTCGACCTCCTCGCAGTTCCCCCTGGAAACTATCATGGTTAATTCCTGATGAATTCATCATGATGGTCTAACTGGCCTGTTTTCATTATCATGTATCACCCTTCACTAGTGCTCCGCCAGCATATCCCATTAGCGCAGGCGGGGTTACCATACCATTTTTACCCATCAAAAAAAAAAAACTCTATGGTCTTAATACTTTTTTTATATACCATAAAGGTGGCAAACAAGCATACAGCCCGTCTGATGGTAAACAGTCACAGTAGCCTATAGACGCCTGTATCACTAGGGGTGTCCTGTGCACATCGACCCTGAGGGAACCTTAATATACACTTTTTGAAAAACCCTATACTGTAGTCTTTAGGGAGAAACCTAAGTAGGGAGCTCATTCCACATCGCACACTATATCACAACATATTTTTATTTATTATAATATCATTAATCATTGCAATTATTTCTGACAGAATGTACCTATTCAATGAAATTATTTCAGTCATAATGATTATATTATCATTATGGAGCTATGCTTACATTTATATGTATATGTATTTTTTTAATAATTGTGGTCAGTTATCATTATCACTATCATTATCACATCAAATATAATTTTTGAATGAAATTATTTTTAGTTATAAATATAATAGTCCAATATATATTATATTATAAGATATTTATTATGTCCATAACTAACATTATAATTGTAAAAGTAAGTATGCTTTCACATCTAAATCACTGATTTGATTATGATAAATTTTGATCTCGGTCATGCTGACAAAGTCGCGGGTAAAAGTTAGTACTGTATAAATAGATGTGCAATTTGTATTTACTTGAACAAAAATATTAATAAATAAATAAACTTTATTTCCTTAAACAAAGTTATCCTATGGTACAATATAACTATGACCCCACACTAGGCAAGGCCTGTCTCGTGGAAGTCAAAGATAGAAATTTAACAGTTCTTACATTATTAATTAATTGTGAATGACTTTGGCAGTGTAGCAGTTTAAGTTTGCTATGCAGCATAAGTTGCAGATTCAATTCATATGATATTAATATAAATGTTTATTTTCAGAAATATATCAGTTGGTATTTGTTATAGATATTGAAGTGGGTACTTTAAAATTTTGTTAAATAATAAAGTGTACTAATGTGGGGAGATACAATATGACATAAACTGATTCAAGTTACACAGTATGATTTATTTCATAATATTTATGACATATTAGTATTTATCAGGGTGTTCTTAGTATGTATTATTATTATAAAACTAAATAAATAAAAAATAAATGTTTTATATAAAACAAGTTATTACACAAATGTCTAGCAATTGTTTTGCATTCATAGTACCTCTTATATATTTTTACAAAAACAAAGCGGAAAATCTTAGACATAAGTTCTTAATCTACTTATTATTCAGATAATCTTATTGTTATTGTTAATGATTTATTAAATATTATAATAGTGCATGTTGTTTCTATAAAAGAATTTTACATTAGGCAAAATTATTTTTTGTGTTATTAAGTTGCATGTAAAATGTAAAAGTTGTATGTAAACCTTATTAAATAAAAAAAAAAAAACAATTTGAAGGTGCTGTGTGATACTAGGTTAGATTCTGAAGTGTCATTTCTCTAAAACTAAAATTATTAATTTAAAATATTAAACTATACCACATTTAATAACAGTTAAAATAAATTTAACTAAACTAACTTTAAACTAAATTAATGATAATTTTAAATGATATCTATTCGAAATTTAGTGCATTTAGAAGTTTAGGGCATTTAACTATTCTTTAGAATTAAAGTACCTCTCGGATATCAAATTAAAATTAATATTTTAGAGATTCATTTATATACTTAATATGGATTGCAATAATATAAATAGATCAGTATATAAAGAAGTTTGATAGAAATTTATTTGTCTACCAAAATTTGTTAGTAAAAGTAAAATAGAAAAATATAACAAATATGAAAAATCATATTTTAAAAATAAAGAACTTATACAAAATACTAGCATCATCATACAGCTTCGCTCATGTGGATTACTATTAAGTGCAGAGTTAGGATAGTATAGTCTATCAAAGTATCATATTTCAGAAAGTATCATATTTCAAATCGGTTCAGTTGTTAAAGCAAACTAGTGTAAGTAATAAAAATTCAAATATTCTATACTTTATTATGTGATAAGGGTCTTCATCAGATATGAATTAACTTTGATAACTCTTGTTACAATCAATAGTGTTTATTTCTGTACCCCACATACATATTGTTACAATTATAGTCATTGGTTTGTGTAGATCAGAGCCTTTGAACAGACATTAAAGGTTGTTATAATAATTCTTCAAAGTCATGCAATAATTTAATTTTATAATACTCCAATATATATTACTTTAGGGAGGTAGTTGTATTCACTGCTAAGACAAACACACACTGTCATGGCATACTTTTACTACTACAATATAAGCATGTGAAAATTCACAATTTTACAATACTTACGAATCTCCGTCATCGTCCTGTTGGAAGTATAATAATGAGGTAATGTCTTTAACATCTACATGTGGCGGTAGCGCCGTGGGTGTCACATCCAAATCCAAATTTGATAAACTTTCCGTTAAACACACTACCCCACTGTCAAGGTTCGTGTCTGCACTAGAACTATGCACTTTTTTTTCATCACCACAATCCACTGCACCGCTATTTAATTCACCAGAGAACAGCTGTTCTCCAGACAAGAAACCAGAGTCCGTATTCTCGTCTTCGGGAAACTTCGTTTCAAATTCCTTGTTGGCACTCATTTTGTTTGTTCACTAATTTCACTACACTATGTTATTATTTTTAATAATTTGTTTCAAATACAGAAACGATACGAAATCATTGTATAAAAAAAATAAGTAGTTACGCGTTACGACTACCGTTTCAAAAGAATAGCGAACACATAATGATAATAAAATGGAACAAATTTATTAAACATAGCAAAGTTGAGAACGATGATGAAAGGAAGGTATTTCCGTACTTTTTGCGTTCGGATACAATCACGAAACAAACGTATTGATGTGACTATTGATAAAATGTTTATTTCTTATTGGTGTATTCGATCAATAATAATTATAATTGAATAAAATAGTTTTAGGAATTTAACTAAATTTAGTTTTAAAAGTAGGCACAAACACAAAGCAATCGCATGATTTATATGAACAAAGATAGATAATAACCTTAATGTAATACACAATAAATAATTTACCATTTATTAATACATCAAATTAAATAAAAAAAAAAATAAAAAAAAAAAATAGAAAATAAAATAACAGAAATATGTACGAGCGCACGTCTGTCGGGGAAAAGGGCTGTATTCTGGCTTCCTTTGGCTTATATAATTTCGGTATCTAGTGAAGATGACACTGTAGAGAGATACTGTTAACAGTAATATAATTAAAATTAATATTTTTTTTAATAGTAAAATTGAATTGTTGAAATTTGTTAAAGTGCAAATTAGGTACTAATAAAATCTTCAGTGAAATTTGAAAATAGAAAAAAATATATTATTACCTAGTAACGTTAATACATGTGTTGTGTTAAAAGACCGATTCGTGTTTTTCAGGGAGGCTAATAAGAAGTGAGGCATACTTATCATTATAGATATAAATCACAAGTATTCGAAGATAACAGATAACAGTTGTTCTTGTGACATCATTATATCTGTTAAAAAATATCTATTATAATTCACCATACTCAAGTTATTCAACCACTACCAGCAATCAACATTTTCAGTATTCGTTAACAGCTGGCCATTATCATAGCTTGAAATAACAGAACAACTAATAAAAAATGAAACAACTATTCTTGTCTTTGTTTTTTGTATAATATTGTCATAAGCTAAAATGAGACACACCTAGTATTTATTTGAAATAAACCAACATTATAGTAAGTCGTTTCATAAGAAGAAATTCTCTTTGAAAAACGAATTCTTAATTATATCATGTTATATGTTATTTCGTTGATTTATCTAGCTCGTTCACACCTATTTGATATACTGTTACTAAAACGAGAAGCACTTAGTATTATAACCCGAAAAATAGAAATTGTAATCTTACAGAAAGATCCTCGAAACGTCACTTCCTAATTAGTTCGTGTAAACTGTTATTTCGTAATTTATCTCGCTCACACCCATTGTATATACTGTTGCTAAACCGAGATGCAACTAATATTATACTTAAACTCATATTTGTATGTTATTTCCTTACGACCTATTGGGCCGTGGTTGAAAAAAATTTCGGATGTTATTTAATAAAAAATGTACTGGTGTCTTCAGCTACAGGCTCTAAGAAGACCTAAATTGAGAGAATTGACGAAATGTAGAAAGTCAAACTGCTCTTTTAGGTAGCAAGGAAAGGAAAAGTTAAAAGAGATATTGTGGAGCAGTGAAACAATGTAAGTATTCTGGTGGATTCGAATAGTTGAATCGAATCGAATAATGATCATATTTTCTAAGACTGTTTTATTGTTGGTGACCATAGTCTGTAACTTTATGTTTAGGTAATATAAATATTGAAGTATTATGTTTCACTAAATGTAACTGACATAATATTTAAATTTATATAAATATTGCAGTGATTTTATGAATTGTTCAAATTTAGTTTATAACATTTTGTGTATCAACAAAATAAATGATAATTCTGCTATTATCAGTCAGCTACTGAAATTAAAATTAAAAATAGTTTAAACTAATTATATGTGCATGAACGCACTTAAACATATTTATCGCAAATTTGAGTGTGTATCTGAACGTTATAGCATCAAATAATTGGCTGTCAAATTCATGTGTCAAATTTACTCATGTCAAATCTGTCAATATCAGTCATAAATGTCATAATAAACAAAACTTTAGAAATACGTCTTAGAAACAAAACTGAAATATTTGTATTTATTTAAAGTTATAATAAATTAAAATACATGAATAAGATTAAAAATCATATTAGGGTTTATTGAAAATGTTTGCCGAGAAAGTTATTGAATTACTGAAGGAAGCTGAAAGAAATAAAGAGACGATTGATCAGTTTAATGCAAGTATTTTAAACACGTTTTTTTATTCTTAAAAGCTAATATGTAGCTTTATATACTATTATAATTTATATTAATATTTATATACTATAATTATAATTACTTATATTATATCAATATGTTTCAGTTTCACATTAATTATTATACATTTAATTTTTTTAGGATGAGAAAATACGTCAAATTCTGGAGGAGATGCATATGCTGTTTAATTTAAATATGACTGATGCGTAAGTATTTTTTTAATAGTTGAAAATGGAAGTAACCCCGCTTGTGCTATTAGTATACACTAGCGGTGCTTAGAGATATTCGTACCTTGAGCCTTGTACCTTGAACAGTAAGGGAACTCTTCAAGGGTTGGTAGTATGAATTAGCAGATTGGTCAGTAGATTTCACTTTTACATTTTATAAAGTCCAAACAAATTACACAATATATATATAAATGAACACACAATATCACTCACAGTTTAAATAAAATAATATAACATCTATCTATTTTCTATTTTGTAATAAACAACAATCAACAAGTGCTAGGTAACACAATAGGTGTCACACTGCATTATAATCTTAGACTAAAAAAAAGTATTAACAAGTGGACCACCGGAGAGGTATGACAGGTAAGGATGAACATAGGTCAGTTAGCCCATAGTAACTAATTCAACAATAATTAGACAATGATTTCTAAAGGTAGAATAGGGCAGTTAAATCCTTTTACTAACAATTCTTTTCTCCCATATAAATAATTTGTAAAAAAAATTATGGCATCCAACTTTATTGACATTAGTCAATAACTCTCCATGTTAGGGGAAAAGGGATAGTTAGTAATAACAATCCCTTTCCCCCCAACTCTAACAGTCCCATTACTAGCAATATACTTTATCAGGTCAACCTCCACATGGTTCCCTCTGGAAACCATAATGATTAATTTTTGTTATATTTGTTATGATGGGCTAACTGATCTGCCTTCATCTTCTCCTGTCATCTCTCACTGGTACCCAATGGGCGTATATTGATGTGATGAATGCAGGTGGGGTCACTATTCCATTTGCATTCCATTATAAAATAGCTGTTAGGTAAACATGCTACAAAGATTCTTTGACTAGTTTTAGTTTTTAACTTTATACAAAGTTCTTACATATTTCTACTATGATGTAACTTTCAGCTGGGGTACTCTGACTGTACATTTTTATATCTTGTTTTCTTAATGGATGACCATGGAGTGGTAATTTTGCCTGTGCAAATGGTATATGTTGATGGGGTATCAGTAAGAGATAATAAATGAGAACAAAAAAGCAGGTCAGTTAGCCCATTGTGATGAATACATGTGGCTGTCTTTTTCAGAACTCAGCACAATGGTTTCTAGGGGGGACCACATGGAAGTTGACCTGACAGGGTATATTGCTAGTAATGGGACTGGTAGATCATATTACTAACAATCCCTTACCACCATTATTATAAACAAAGACTTCTGACTTAGCATACCCGATATTAGCTTTATGTGCCCTCAATGCCAGCAAGTGACATTTATTTTTAAATAATTTTATCATGAATTAGAAAGTTTGCAGCTTCTAATAGGTTTATCCACTGCCATGTTGGATTTTAATTATGTTTTAAAAAATGTACATCTGTCCAGTGTTAACCACAGTGGCAAGAGTTGACAAATGCCTTTAATTACCCCAGTAGAGACTACAGTTGAGAGCATAATATGTTTTTGTTCCAGTTATTTTTAATACGTTATAACCAAAGAAACATCTAACATTTAATAACATCAATTAAATTATATTACTATGCCTGAGATAGGGTTATGTCTATTTTTTTCAATGTCCTTTATTAAAAGGTCTAGAAGAAATTGCTTAGCGATAAGGCCGTGTTTTGTATCACTTCGCATTAATAATTTATTAATTATTTTTGTAATGGGTGTAATGAGTACAGTTTGGGGTTTTTAAAAAAGGATACATTAAGATTTCTTTAGGATCGGCAACACACTTGCGACATGTCTAGTGTTGCAGGCGTCCATACAGTGACCGTTAACCATCAGATGGGTAATATGCTTGTTTGTCATCTTTGTGGTATAAAAAACAGTATGTTCTATTCTCTATTTATATATATATATATATATATATATATATATATATATATATATATATATATATATATATATATATATATATATATATATATATATATATATATATATATATATACTCTGTGTTACGATGTTCGTTCACGATAATTTATGAAACCGTTCAACAGATTATAATTAAATTTGAAATGTATATTTTTTTTATGGGTGATAATGGAATGGAACCCCGCCTGCGCTATCAGTATACGCTGGTGGAGTAGTAGTGAGGGATGATAGGTGAGGATGAAAGCAGGTCAGTTAGCCCATCGTGACGAATTCAACAAGAATTGTTTACGATGGTTTCCAGGGGGAACCACGGGGAGGTCGCCCTAATAGGGCATATTGCCAGCAATGGGGCTGTCAAACTCCATTGCCAACAATCCGTTTCCCCCCTGAAATGTATATTGTGGGTTCCAACTTGAGTGTTATTTGAGATTTCATCCAGCTTCATTCATATATTTCGGTCACATAGAAACAAAGTTGCGGGTCAAGTTTAGTATATAAAATAGCGTCGTTAATGATGCTTTTAATTCTAAAAGAATATTAAAAATTTTAAAGTTGCATTAATTCTTTTTTATTCTACTGTAAATGTGTAATTTTTTGAAAAGCAGTGTATGTAATAGCCATAATTATGATTACATAGATACATTGTCTTGTCTCCGATGTCTTTAATGGTTAAAAGTATTTTCAAATAACTAGAAAATTCATAAATAACATATTTTGTTCTTGGTATATATTAGTTAAGCCTGATTATTATGGGAAATTGTCATTAGAGTGCGAACTTTGTAATCAATAAAGCGCTTACAGTTTTAAAGTACATTTTGGGACGGCGATATTTCATCCATAAAAAAGTACGTAATACACTACGTACTTTTTTATGGGTGAAATATAATGGTATCAGTGAGTGTTAATAGGTAACGTTAAAGTCGGATGGTTCATCATGATGAATTCATTACTGTGATGATTCATTATTTAGCATCGTTCGATAGTACTCCGCTAGCGAAAATCAATAGCACAGGAGGCTTTACCCTTCTATTTCGACCCATTAAAAAGATGGGGGATATTTCCTTAATAATAAGCACCACATAGGGGTCACATAAGATATGGGCAGCAGCGTCCCTTTTAAAAGATCACCAAAGCTTAACTGCGGTTGCCAATCTGCCTGCTAAGCGTAGCAGCTACTGGCAAAACCAATATTAAATTTTACTAGTGTTTTTTGTTTTCCAATAGCAATAAGAAAAAGCTAGTCTCTAAATTGATTATTTGGAATTATTGTTTTCCTAGTAATGCTGCGTTAAGGTTTACGTCATATTTACGTCTGAAAACATGTAAATGGAAATACTACGTTGTATAAATACACTCGTAAAAATTATACCTAAGATACAGTATTACGCGAGACATTTTGTAGACATAAACAAGGACATTACGCATAGAAAAACCATGCATTATTTATTTATATTATAGGTATACATTACGTACAATAATATTACAATCACTTATATTTACTTTGTTACAATATCATAATAGAATGTTTTAAATTAATCTATCCATATTTTAACACTACGCTCTTCCGAAAACCTTTCCCTTATGACTACTTCTCATTCCACTAAATTTTATTATAATTCCTTCACTGCTTCTAGAGCTGAGTTATGGTATTCATTACCTGTAGTCATTAGAAGCGCAAAATTAGGGTTATATTTTGTAAGCCCCATGTACTAGTACAGGAGGAAAGCCTCAGTTGGGAGCTTATTTCCTAACTTAAATTACAAAAAAAAATCTTCAGTTTGGATTTAATTTCTCAGGTGAGACAAGGTCTGGTGTTGTAAACTATTGAAATAGCAAACGACTTGTTTGCTATCGTCACACTAGATATTCTCTATAGTTTATTAAGTGTAGGTGAATGATAATGCCCACGTTACTCTTTTTGCCTTGCTATTTTGGAGAACGTGTATGTGGTGTTTTACCTCTATACCCAATAATTTTAGCTGTTTTCGTAAATCATGATTTACACACACATGCCATTTACCACACACAAATAGTACATGGCTTATTTGGGCGTTGACAGGTTGATCGAGTATTTCTAAAAGGCATATTTTATTTTCAGGAACGCTTCATCAGAAAACAAATCTCTTTGGACTGCGGTTCAAATTAGGCATTCAGCGTTGGAGCGGAACAAACGGTGTCTATTAGCTTATCTTTACAATAGAATGCAGAAAATTAAAACTCTCCGCTGGGAGTTCGGCTCAGTGCTACCTACGGATGTGAGAGAGTTATTATCTGATGATGAATACTTGTGGTTCACCAAGTATTCTACCAATCTAGCGTCGTATATGCGATCCCTTGGTCAAGATATAGGCTATAACGGTATAGATTTAACAGAGAACCTGAAGCCACCAAAGTCTCTGTTTATTGAAGTACTCTGCATGGTGGACTATGGGAAGTTGGAGTTAGAAGATGGTGATGTGATAATGCTCAAGAAGAATAGTAGACATTTTTTACCTACCTCCGAGTGCCAAACATTAATACGACAGGGTATTTTAAAGCAAATAGTGTAACTTGTAATAAAATATTGTTTATGCCATTATTTTTTATTCTTTTGTATACCTAAGATATCAATGTACATTCTTATATATAAAAGTAAAAATCATAGTCTATCGTGCATCTATTTATCCGCAATGTAGATACAAGGCAGTAAAGTTACTTGTTGTGATTACAACTAAGTAGAGACAATGGTATAATACGATTTTGACTACCCCATTAATAGATATATGAGAAAAGAGGAGGCCCATCCCTGAATTTTTTGGTGACCATCTCTGGATGTGAATAAATCATCGCAAAGATATATAGAGACATAGAGAGTACATATATGTTCCACTTGTCAGCCCAGGAAATTAATACTCTAATGAATAATGAAGGATAGTAATGAAAGTTCTGAACGCTTAATTTAGAAGTTATCTAGTTGGTTATATACTGGCTATATTAAATGTATACCTATTTACGTGGTTGAGTAAAAACATCTAGACATCTAAATATCTTTATAAACTTTTCCACTTATAATATTAGAAGGGCACTGTCCGAGACTATCAACCTTACTTATTACACGACCTAAATAAAAGTATTGGAACGAAATTGGACAAAGGTCGAGGCGAGTTAATAGGCTGAGAACAAACTCTTCTGAAGTGCTGTATTTCCGAGTTCACATTCGTTATCTATCTCGGAGGAATAAAGTGTATAAACAATGCCTCGCGGCGTTGCCAGATTGGGTATTTTTTCGCGATTTTGGTTAAAAATTTATCTGTTAGATACATTTTGGAGAAATAGTATAGTGTAGTGGGAGAAATTTTGAGTGAAAAATGTAGTGAACCGTGGATAATTTATTTAAAAGGTTTTGCACTTAACTGTATTTTCTTCTAATATTATAAATGTAAAAGTTAGTAAAGATATTTGGATTTTGTATGTTTATTGCTTAATTAAGCTTCAGTTGAAAAGATCTCAATGAAATTTAGTACACGGTTATAGATTCCTATAACATAGATATCTTAATATATTGAAGTACGTGGGCAAAGCCGTGGGAAACAGATGGTATAATTATATAACAATGTAAGCACTAAGATGATGTTAAATTTTGCAGTCCGACAGGGAGGATGTTTTGATTTTGTTGCTCATAATAGTCATTATATGATAATTTGTAGTTATTCGATAACACAAAATGTTTATTTGGGTAAAAGTAAAGGAAATCGTATCATTTTGCCAGTATCGCCCTTTTTGCCGAAGTTCATGCCAGGAGCCAGGAATTTGAAGTTGGTAATTTTCATCGGGACTGCCTTCAGGAGAAAGTGTCCCATGTTTCTAGAAATGTAACACCTCCGATTGGGGGAAAAGGGATTGTTTGTAATGGAGACTGAGAATCCCATTGCTAGCAATTTACCCAACCAGGTTGACCTATTCGCGGTTTCCCCTGGAAACTATCATGGTTAATTCCTGATGAATTCACCTTGATGGGCTAACTGACCTGTTTTCATTCTCATCTATCACCCTTCACTGGTGCTCCGCCAGCGTATCCCGTTAGCGCAGGCGGGGTTACCATTCCATTTTGATTCATTAATAAAAAAAAAATCACCTCCAATTTGTGGATCAGCATTGTCAGCATACGATGACATTTTTATCTCAAGAGTATCATTAAAATTAAAAGTCCGGTCCTGCATTATGTAGAATTAATTTGTGGAGAAATAAAAAAATGTATTTGGCAACACTGGCTCCGGGCGATCCACGCGCTCGCGGCCGAACTTCGCTATAGGTCCCAGCTCAGCGTTTTACCTAATAAGATACTACAACTTCAGCTATAATTTAATTTTATGTGACATTAACGTGTTTTGCTGATAAATCGACGGATACCACCGTCACACTTCTTGCTTTCCTATTAATTTACGGGATATGTACTATTTACATCGCGGTGAAGCTTTTTGATTAATTAATCTCTTAGGCACGCTTATGAAATATCTTGTGTGGTTTTGGAGTTTCTAAAGGTAGTTATATGTTACCAAATATTCACATTCTTTCCCAAAGGGGCCTGATTTAAAAGAGACATTTATTTATTTATACTTTATTGTACTCAAAAAAATTATATTCATATAATTTAAATTAAATAAAGATGTACAACAGGCGAGCTTAACTCTGTAAGAGTTCTCTTCCAGCAAACCGTAAGTGGAAAAGAGCATTAATTACCAACGGGCAGTGTGCAGAAATAATAAATATGTTTACATAATATACAAAGTAACTTATATACATTAAAACACATACATATATATGTATTTTATATGACATATTTTCTACTCTCAGATAAGTCTTTGTGTATAGTTAAAATCTTCGCTGACAGCCTGAAGTGAGCATTTGACAATTTTTGTCTTGTAATTCATTTTTTTTATACAACTTAGAATGGCAAACAAGCTGACTCATATTTATATGTTGGATTGAAATAACAAACAAGTTGACGGTCTACCTAATGGAAAATGGCAACCATTACTTATAGACATGAATAGCATATTCAAGAGATATGACAATACACTGTGACGTCTACGGTACTCCTTATGCATTGTTATATGCGTATACGTGTTAAAAGTAGTTGATTTAGTAACGATATGTCTGAGCACTATTAAGCAGGGCAAAATCGAGAATGCAACAGTATATTTTTTTCTAAAAATACGAAAGGAGCAAAACTTTTCTTGTTTTTATTTCTTTAATATAAATCAAAATTTTGTTTTATTCTTAGAACACTATTTTACCATAAATGTTTATAATTCAAAATATATAATAGCAAAATGATTTACATTCAAGTCAAACCCCAAATAAAAAAAGTATATACTTTTAAGTTACTTTTAAATAAAATAATATCTTAAGATTTTAATTTCATTCTATGTATATTATAAACCGGTGTTTTCCAATAGATATCTAGTATTTCCGCTAACTGTTACCAATTACTGGAAATAAAGAATTATTAGGTCATAACATAATAAAATTACACGATGTTATTAAATGCGAATATACGTGAGCGATTGATATTTCCTCTTAGGGAAAAAACCTACCACAGTGTTATTAAGTATTTTCAATATATTTCAAAAGAAATAATTTCTCAATTTGGTAATACTTTTTTTTATGTCTTTTATCTCACAACTCCGTCAGTTCTAAACCGATTTGGAAAAGTCTTTTGTTATCTGAATAAATACTTAGTTTTTTTTTTATACAACTTAGAATGGCAAACAAGCTGACGGTCCACCTGATGGAAAGAGGTAACCGTTGCCTATAGACATAAGCAGTACCATGGACATAACAGAGTATACTGTTTCACCCATGATATCCCCCATGCGTTGCCATTCCTGAGGACTCGGGTATTATTCCTCTGTACCCAGTAAATTCACGCCATATCCTACCCTTCAAACCGAAACAGCCATGCAAACACAGCTGCTTCACGGTTGAAACACGAATGGGACAGAGGTACCCAAGCAATCGACATTTGTACAAAGTCTCCCTCTGGTACTTAAAGATTGATCTTATAGAAATTTTATCAAATCAGTTTAGCAGTTTAGTTAACTGGTTTTGTTACAATACAGGGCACTTGGGATGCCTCTAGTGTTGCGGGTGATCATGAGCGGCGGTGGTCACTTACCATCAGGTAAGCCGCATGCTCGTTTGCTCCCTGTGTTATAAAAAAAAATTGAACCTTTTTTTTTGTTAGACACAATCTTTAATATAATTCTGAAGCAACGTGCTTACTCTGGGGTTTTCTGAATGATTCGGTGGACTAACCTTGGTGGCGTAGTGGGTTTAATACATTGCCTCATCTTTCGATGGTCGCTGGGTCGATCCCCGCTATATGGGTATTACACAATATTGTAATGAATCATTATCGATATTAGCATATATACCATGTTTGGCTCAGACTATTTTTTCGAAATATTAGTAGTGTAACTTAAGAAAATACAGTTATGTATTTACGAATAAATCTCATTTCATTTCATTTTTAATTTTTCTTTTTAAGAATTAATACATATAAATAAAAAATATATATTCTTTATCGCACTAAAACATACAGTAACAACAATAAAATATTAACAATGTTGGCAAAGGCGAACTTATCTCTAAAAGAGATTTCTTCCAGTCAAATAATAGCCGACTTAAAAAAAGGCGGTTCTCATTTCTGTTACTCCTGTTTAATGTCTGTTGCCTCATAATTGCATCATTTATAAACCGATTTGGAAAATTACTTTTTTAATTGAAAGAATATCCTTTTACTTTCGTCTCATAGAAATTTTATTAAAATCGGTCCAGTAGTTTAGTTTTTAAATAAAAATAAGTAAAGTATTCGACGATTGAAGTTGGTGTTTTTTTTTGTGGAATAATATCTTAAATTATTATTATGATAGATTCAAATGCAACTTTTTTAAGAGCGAGAGAAAGAGGGGGGGGGGGGAGGTTCTTCTGACCTGGATGATTATTTTCTATATGTATTAGTATTTATATCGTCCTTACAACACGTGTACTACAATTGCTCCCTAGTTAGGTTATATTATTTATCATTATATTTGTTTGTTTGCAAGATCTTTTTCAGAGATAAGCCCACCCTTGCTCACAAAATTTGTAACTGCCTTATCTTTGTAATTTACAAGTGCAATAATGAGTATATACATATAAACAATATCTAATATATAAAATTCTCGTGTCGCGGTGTTTGTTATCAAACTCCTCCGAAACGGCTTTACCGATTTTTATAAAATTTTGTGTGCATATTGGGTAGGTCTGAGAATCGGCCAACATCTATTTTTCATACCCCTCAATGATAAGGGTGACCCCCCCCGATATGTTTTTTTAATGGATTAGAAAAATATTCTCCAAATAATGTATATATATATATATATATATATATATATATATATATATATATATATATATATATATATATATATATATATATATATATATATATATATATATATAATACTAATATATATGATTGAATAATAGCACACATATAACTGAAACAGCATGCTTTAAAGGAAGTGTTCTATCAGCAATACTGAAGATTTTCAT